CTCTCTCTCTCTCTCTCTCTCTCTCTCTCTCTCTCTCATATATTGCGTTCTTTTTATAGTTGAGTGTGTGTGTTAACATTTTGTGGTAATGATCAAGGAACTGAGAAGCCTCTGTTGGATATTTATCAGTTACTACTTAGATTGTAAAGGAAGATGCTTTGATGCCGAGAAACCTTCAATTAGAGTATCTCAACCTCAAGATTTATGTACATGAAAAATAGATTTCAAGTCTTGAAAATAGTGCATCTTGTAATGCATTATCTGGACGGTCAATTTTTAAGTATTCCAAGTGTTCATAGATCTGTTCGATCTACCATATTGTTGAATATTTAAATTTTATAATTAGAGAATAAATGTTCAGGTTATCTTAAAGATTTCAGATACTAAAACAGCATATTTTGGTACTATTTGAAGGTGTGCCTTTAATTGTTTAGGGCTTCAAGCTTATACAAACCACACCCTATTGTAAATGAGCCTTACAAGACTGCTTGTTGGAGGGCCATGGACTTGCTGTATTTGCTAAAATGGATTGATCTCTATGAAATTATGTCCATATGCGATTTAGATGTGAAGGTTTTGTTCCCCATGCTGTGACGCTGGGATTCTCTCTTCAAAGGCACTGCAGCACACTTGGGAAATTGAAAATTTGCTTTGAACTTTGAAGTTGGTTTATGGGAATATCCTACATATTTGATTTTTCCTTCTTTTTTTCCCCTCCAAACTTGATCACTGCGTTGGTTGGTGTAGAATTCACAGGCCCTCATCTGAAACCTTAGGATTTTACCATTATTGTTCCTTGATAGAGCCGAGGTTCTTGCACCTTAGGCCCCAGCAAAGCCACCCTCTTGGTGGTTTTATACATGTCTAGCAGTCGACTGGCCCGTTCAGTCTGGTTTCAGGTTTGGCATTGGCCTAGCCCTAGCCCAAATGATCCAAGCTCAGGCCATGCTTGGGTCTTGGTTGTGCTGCAAACGTTTGGATCCAGCCTGTACTGACTTTGTCCAACCTGAGCCCCGCTTGTTGGCTGCTCTAGCTACTGAGGCAGATTACCAGTACCATGATCAATATTCATTACAGTGGCCTAGTGAGAAACTGGTCGACTATCATACTTACTTGCTCTCGAAATTGAGTAGGAGTTACTTGTGCCTCCTAAGAACAAGTGTGTTTGTACTTGAATTCTTGTCAAAGCAATTTGTGATAATTTGTTGCTGATGAAGTTATTGTCCTTTGGTAAGTGTTCAATAGAAATTTGCTTTATTGGGTCTTGTGTTAGCCCATGAGGGTGTTCAAACTATATCTAGGCACCCAAAAGCAAAGGGTTTCCATGCTCCTGCATATTATGTGAGCGTATTTATTGTACTCCTTCGGGTTCACATTGCACATGTACTGCTTTGGGCAATAAACCTTCTTCAAAAAAATTTCTCAAAATGAAATTTTGGGACATTAGAATCATCAGATGAGCAGTGTTTTGGGAAAAACTTTGATTTTTAGTTCCAAGACACTGGGACTTGACTGTCTGAAAATTGAACAGTTATTATTCAATCTTAGGATTTATATTTCTTATTTTTGGGTGCACAGGCTTTTTTTTGTCCTTTGAGGGTGATCACAAGGATGCGTAAGTTATATCCCCAAAATTTGGGATCCTAAAATTCATCGGGTTTTACCTGACCATATAATGGCAATTATATCACACTTGCCTAGGTAACCATATCCTTCTCTCATCAACAAAGTAATTCTTGGTTAATAATGGAAAAGGAAAAGGGCATATTGTCTTGGAAACTGAAAAGTTCATACGCTTTTGGGGGAGAAAAATATGCATTTGCTTTTCATGCAATATCCCAGTTAAGGAGCATCTTTAGGATCTCAAAATGGATGTCACTTAACCAAGAAAGAGACCAACCTAATAAACTCTGCAATAGCAGTGAAGAAGTGCCTCAAAATAAAAAAAAATAAAAAAATCACACCCTCAGATTCAATAAAGATGGTCCCATTATTGGGAGGTCGGATCTTGGTGAATAAGAATGCTTTGTTTGGGTGGTAGCAGCAAGGTTTTCATAGCACCACGTTTCAAGTTTCATTTTTATGTAAAAAAAAAAAAATGCCTTTCTTTCTTGGAAACTTCGCATTAAATCATTTTAGATCCAATTCAAAATATCTAGATAAAAAATTCTGAATGGGTCTTTTGGCCGAGGTAGCTAGTGTACAATTTGCTCCTGTGGGAGGACAATATACACAAGAAACTTGAAATGCGAAGTTTATAATATAGATTAAAAGAGATCATACCTAGGCCAGGTCTGCATAGTGCGCACACTAGCAAAATTGAGAAAAGAGACATCATATATCAAGAAGCATCTCCTCTTGACCATATAATACCACAACAATTTTAGACACCCTTTTAAACAATTTCAGTCACTCTTTTAAGGGATCCAAAATGCAGAGGGACCATTAAACCAAAATTCAAACCATTACTCATCACACTAACCACACAACCAGAGAGGGAGAGAGGGATGGAATAGAGATCAAATAGCTGCTGCTAATCCATTCTTGATGACTCTATGCCGGCCGCTGCGGTCACCTAATGGTGCACCACACCCGTCAAGCAAGGCTGAGAGCTCGAAAGGTGGTGCATCAAGCGCGAGCCACTGATGCACCTCGAAGAGGGTCTGGGAGCACTGCGCATGGGGCCCAGTGGCAGTGACCTCGACATACTCACAAAGCCACCCATGGTGCTCCCCACTAGCATCAGAAGTCAGATTCATTCTACAAGGGGCTTCGGCCAAGCACCGGCCCCGCCCGCTGAATATGTCGAGGGCCCCACGTTCATAGTAGTCGTGATCTGGCCCCATGAGGCCCCATGATTCTAGGTCATCTACATGGACTTCAGAAAAGGAATCCCCGATCGTTAGGCTGATCTTCGCATCGGTACCAGACTTGATGATGGACCCCGTCCGTACATACACCGTATATACGCAGTTTCTCTGTTATATAAAGAAAATAAGAAAACAAAGACATAGTAAAGTATTCATTGCTAAGCATTTGGTTTTCTTACATTTCTCTTCTTCTTTCCTCAACCATCGGGAGGAACGACACACCCCAACTGTCTGTCATTAACTTCGAACAGTTGGGAAAGTGCTAAGAAACTGTAGGAAACCCAAATGATAGCGAAGTGTACAAACCCGAAAGATAATTGAAACTTATCAGACAAGATGCTTTTCTTGCTGTATTTATTATGGAAAAGTATATAAGGAGACTGTTTACCTTCGGTACAAAGTGGTCACAATTAATTTTAACCATTGGATGCAAAATTAGATGGCTGCATTTATTCCATTGACTAAGCTCAAACTTCAAATTTTTTTTTTCGAACTTTGTGACAAACCCAAACTATCAGATTTCATATCAAATGTTTACACGTAATTGTGACCTTGTATCAAAAATAAATTGTCTGATTGTATATAATCCCATTTATTATATGTTTCTTAGCCAAGATCCATCATGATAATATCATGTAAAGTGACTACATTTATATGAACATAACAAGTCATTGCATAATTCATGTAGTGTATCAGTGTATGGTTTTTTTCTAAACATTTTTGGTCAAGCATTTAATAGGAGACATTTCATGGTGAAGGCAAATTGATTTTCCTTAGAAATTCATCATACTGCTGAAAATATATAGAATGTTTTTGCAAGTTGGAATATGTTAATTTTAAGAATTACTCAACAAATAAATATCATTGAAAAGTAAGAACACAATATGCGTTGTTGATGAATTAAAACTCACTAAATATAAGGCTGTAATATTTGATACCAGGCCACAATTACCTCTAGCAGTCAGATACAAAAAAAAAACAAAAAGATCTTTCATTTTGAATACAATTAATAGTACACCTCCAACATTCATCCAACCTTATTCATCTAATGGTTAAAGGCGAGAGACTTTTGTATTAAAAGGTTAACAGTCTTACTGTATACTTTTCCAAAAAGAAAACTAAGGAAAGGTTGGGCATTACGTACTTAATCACCCTGCTTCTGCAGAAAAGGAGGAATTCAAGTGTGGTTCCCATCCAAAAATTCCATAATTTCAGATTTGTGTAATCTTGACAACTTAGAGATCATAAATTTGAAAAAAATATATTTTAAAACACAAGTAGATTATTTTAAAAGAATTAAAACATAGTGCTAAAAGCAAAGTTTTATGATGGGTTGGAAGGTGCGAAGTTTTAAGATTCAAAATCTATATCTATTTTTAGATGCCTGATCGCGGTAGTCGAAATGAAACTATGAAATTTCAAATCCAGAAGCCATCTCTAAGATGCGTTGGAAGGAGCACTTTAATAGGTGCGTTGGAACCGGGTGGCGTCAGCCCCAACCTAGACCCTAACCGAAATCGGATTGGGCCCAAATGCATTAGACCCAGATCAGACCCGCCGAGTTCGGTCAGACTGAAAAAAGTTTGTATAAGGTTGCAACCTGAAATTGTAGATTTAAGGTATGCCTCAAAAATCCATCAGAAAAAGGCTATTTTTATTTTATAGAATCTTCTAATTGATAATCTTGACATTGACATCATGGATATGGGAAAAAAAAAGATTTTGGGTCCCAAAACAGTGAATATTGCAACACATTATCTGGATCTTTTTACTTTCAAGATTTTCACATGTTTATAGATCTTGATTTGAACCATTTTTGGAGTTCAAAATTTTATACTTAAAGATGAAAATAGCTTCTCAAACCGTTCAAAGAATTTTCTACACCAAAATTACATCTTATGAAAAATTTTGACCCGGATTGGGACTCGGACCCAATCCCACCCGCAAGGTCCATTTCATGGATCCGGTCCCGGACTCCGCTCAGGTCGACCAGCTGGGTCCACGCGGCAAACCAAGCCATTCAACAACTTACATCTAGCTCACAAAAGCTCTCCATATTCAAATATGCTTGATTTAGTTTTACTCAAAAGTGATTTAAAGCATAAGGCAAGGTTAAGTTTGGGTCCAAAGTTACTGGAGAGCACAAAATAGGAGAGGAATTTTCTTTTTGGCTCCATGTTAATTTGCTGAAATCCATGTGCCTCAATATTTGTAAAACATAAGAAATTTCATTGCATAAATAAAAAGAATAGCAATTTTTTTTTTTATTTCATTGGTGACTTATGATCTGAATGAGTGTATGGCTCTTGATAGAACAAAATAACATAACAAGATTCATATAGCCGATTCCTAAAATTCAGATGATGATGAAATAAAAAGAAAATTTGCACCCAAGCTCACTATTTTTCCCAAGTTATCTCAAAGCAACCTAGATATATAACATTTTCTCTAAATTTTTATTTTTTTTAAAAAATATTCTAATTACTTGCAAATGGCTAGGAGTACACTTCCTTTGTAGTGGTCTGACAAATAAGTTTTATTTAAGATTGAAAGTGGTTTGAAAGGGCTGCAGTCTTATCAAAATAACGAAACACTCATAAATTGTCTAAAATTGCAATTTAAGTATTGAAAACCTTTAAATCAATCATTTTGGCTTGAATGTTATGATTGTGAAAAAATTAAGATTTCAAGCTCTAAAAGAAGGGTATATTGAAACAAATTATATAAAACCTTAAAAAAAAGTGTTTAAAGATCCGCAAGATTTGTACATTCTTTTAGTTTCAAATTTTATTGTTGTTGGAAATTGATTTTAGAATATCATCGAGATTTTTTTTGCCTAAAGTGCTCTCGAGACAAGTATTTGAGGTGAAGCTTCATTTTATTTTGAAAATTTCAAAATAGTCTCTTATATTTCATATTTTCTATCAAATTTACTTGAGCTAAAATTAAAGGTCATTGGAAGTTGTGATGAAAAAGCAACGGTGCAGATCCAGCCTCTTGCATCTAGAGGTGCAGATCGCTCTACGGAATGACATTGGGATGAAATCTTGATCGTTCATCAGCATTAATGTTGACAAATTAATCGAAATCTAGAAAACCAATGGGAAGCAGAATAAAATGCGTAAGATCTGAACTCTGAAAACACGGCCATGGAAAAAGTGAGAGAGAGACTTTACATTCACATCCAAACAATAAAATTCAGCGAGAGAGAGTGTTTAAATTCATAATAACCAGACATTGCATTCATAGTCCAAAGCATAAAATTTCGAGAGAGAGATGGTTACAGAAGCAGCTTGGGCAGTGGCAATGAGGAGGAGCGCGGCGAAAAGGAGACGAGCAATGGCCATCGCTATCTATCACATTCACACCACCAATCGATGCTGAAAACAAATGCCACCCTTCTCTACTATTAACTAACCAAGACAGAGAGAGATGGTCAATGCACCCTTTGAGAGAGAGATGGTCAATGTACCTCACTATTTTATCTCTCGATGAGCAATGTTATCAAATTCGCTACCCTTAGGTCGAATCTTAAGCATAAATCGAAAAGAAGTGAAGTTTGGTACTACCGCTTCTGTCAAATTTGGACAGTTTTGGGCTGTTTCGGTCAAATTTGGATTGTTTCGAGTTTGCTTTGGGTTTTTGCTTCTTTCGGATCGGCCGAAACACGAAATTGCTTCATTTTTCTCACAAAACCGAAAAATGCACTCTTTTCTTTTGATTCAATGTCTACACCCTCCTCACCATTCTATTTCTATATGGGTGATCATAGTTAACATCAATGATATGAGGATTGACTATGTTACGATAGGCCATCGATCAATTAGGGTTTGGTTTAGATAAAATCGTTCTGGTCACAAGGTGAATTGATTATGCCGGAAATAAAAAAACTAAAAAAATAATTTTAATAATTTAAAAATATAAAAAAGTCAGCCTAACTTTATTTAATCCAATCAGTTCAACTAACTAAAACATGCCAAACTTTGGATTTGACCAAGATTGGGGCCAAACCTAAAAAAAATAACAAAATTTGGTTTGTACCAAGTTTTGGGCTAAATCCCTTTTTTCTTTTAATCTGACCAGTCAAGGCATCAGTTAGCAATCGAAGTGGTCGGATTAGCCAGTCCGATCCAATTTTGATAACTATGGTTCCCATAGTTAGCGATGTTATTTTTTATAAAAAAAAAAAAAAACGAAAATTTATAGGTCCCATATGTAACTTTTAGAATCCGGGCCATTCCGACTCTACAGCGCCTAGGAAGCTCAAAACTTGGCTGGATGTCAAGATTAGATCCGAAACCATGAGATTCAGCCGCATCCCATCACGATATGTTATTAGAAAACTTTTTTTTAAGACTCGGCCGAGTTTTTACAGACTCAACAAAATCCAAAATTTCCTACTCCAGTTTGAGACCATAGCAAGTCCTTGTGAACTTGTATAGTATTTATTTGACATTTTATATATACACAACTATTTTTTGGGTAATTATACATACGCGATTGTATATAGCCTATTTATTTAGAAGAATTAAAAAAATATTATAATTGGTACAGTTATATACACCCTGTAAACAACTCTGTAACCCTGTCTCTTGTGCACACATACTGTAGGTTCTGTAATATATCTTCTAGGAGTCTTAAAGTCCAAAAATATAGAAAAATTTATAGTATTTTCACAGTCCTAACCAGAGTCCTTGACAATCCACCAAGTGGTTCTTACAAGTGGAGCCCAATCCTGGTCACCTCCTCCCCTTACCCCCACAAGTGCCATTTGAGGGACATCAATTATTTAAGTTGCTGCAAACTGGACACCTTTAATTATGAAGGAAATGGAGAGGGTGTCGATTCAGCTTTATCTGCCCATCAAAGGATATTGCTTTTTATATGGAATTGCCTGGTCAAACAACTTTTGGGGATTTCCCTTTCCCTTTTGTGTGTCCCCTCTCTCTCTCCCTCTCCAACTTTTGTAGAGCTCCCTGAAACACCTCTCTCTCGCTCTCTCTCTCTCTCTCTCTCTCTCTTGAAGAGGTATTTAAAACTAGAGTTGAGAATTGATCCGATCAGGATCTAAAACTTAGATTTCAGATTCTATTCGGATCCAGTTATGGACCCAAAATTTGGATTCAAAATTCACATATGGATCCAAAAGTGATATCAAACCTGGATTCAGATCGTGGTGGTAACACTCATGCACCTAGTTATCATGTTGTGATTTGCATTCTTATTGACACCACCCCATTAATACCTTCAAAAACTAACTCCTAAGCTATTTGTAAGAAATATGTAGGGGCTTGTCCAATAAAAAAAAAAAGTTTATATAGAGCTGAGGCTCTAAATAATCAAATAGGAGCATACCTCAAAAAATTCATTAGAAGAGGTTGTTTTGATGTCCAAATATCTTCAAATTGATAATCTCGACACCAAGATGCATGAACATGAGAAAAAAATGGATTTCAAGTTTTCGAAATAGTGCATCTTATAACGTATTTTTGGACTGTCAATTTTCAAGATTTTCAAGTGTTCATAGATATGCTCGATCTACACTATTTGTTAAGATTTAAATTTTATAATTAAAGATGAAAATATATTTTAAGGCTATCACAAAATTTCCAGTATTTAAACCATATTTCTCAACACTATTGAAGGTGGACTTTACTTTGATTGTTTAGAGCATCGGCTCTATACAAACCGCCCCCACAAAAAAAGGACCTTGATATATATATATTTTTTTATGGTTTATCAACAAGTCCAGGTGATAATGCACAAATAGAAAGAGTTCATGGCCATGTAGAGAGAGAGAAACACGGGACTCTCTCTGGTCAACACTAGAACATTAGAAAAAATTCAACATGTTTAATTGCATGGGAATTATCATTTTGAAACAATCAATTACTTCAAGAGAATCAAAGAGGTGTGGTCAAATCGATGTATTATCAAGTGATTAATTTAAGGAAAATTGTTTCAACAGTAAGCAGCCGCAAGAGCCCGCGGACTTACAATCATCAAAGTGTATTGTCTATAAATAAGATATGGACGGTGTATAAAAAATTACTAAAAAATTATTTTAAATTTTGAAAGTTTTTTTTTTTTATTTTTATCATCTAGGCATATAAGGTGTGGTTTGTGTAAGGTTGCAACCTTAAACAATCCAATTAAGGTGCGCCTGCAAATTTTATCATAACATATAATTCTGATGTAAAAAATTATTAATATTATCTAAAACTATATTTTTATATCTCATTATAAAATTTTACTCTCCAAAAAGGGTTAAAATCAAGTAGATCTATAAACATATGAAAATCTTAAAAATGGACGGTCTAGATAATGTGTTGTAAGATGCATTATTTTCGAGACTAAAAATCTTTTTTTTTGTAATATTCATACATCTTTATGTCGAGATGATCAACTAGAGGGTTTTTCAATGTTAAAACAACCTTCTCTGATGGATTTTTGAGGTGCATTCGTATTTCTACACTTTGTTTTTCAATGTTAAAACAACCTTCTCCGATGGATATGCGCATCCGTATTTCTACATTTCAAGGTCGCAACCTTGTATAAACTTTTTTCATATATATATGTATAGAAAAATCTTCTCAATGCCTATAGGCGAAAATGAACAGTGATTTCGTCTACCCTCATCATCGTCCAAAGTTCATCGCACGATCATGATTGTCCGATAATGTTTCATTTTTTATTTTATTTTTTCTACAAATCAGAATGACCTGAAATTTGGAGTATGTGTACATCTTAATGAGACACAACTAATAAAAATATATAAAAATAATAATTCGAGAAAATAATTTAACCAAAATACCCCTGAAAATTTTCGGGCGTATTTTGATCAAAATTTTCATGTAAAATATTTTTTTGATATTTTTCGTAGATTCGCTTATTTTTTATGAACGTACGCTCCAAATTTTTATCATTTTGATTTGTAAAAAAAAAATGAAAAATGAAACACTACCGGACAATCGTGACCTCGCGATGAACTTTGGACGGTGATGTGGGTAGGCGAAATCACTGCTCACTTTAGATAGTGATGGCGGTAGGTGAAATCACTGCTCACTTTGGACGGTGATGGGGGTAGGACAA